AGAAGATAAATTGGTGTTGTTTTCAACCAAATTTAAAAGAGAAAATCCCAGAAGAAACATCCAAATTAAAACATTTTCCCAACTAAAACCTCAAACTTTTTCCGTTCCCATATAAAACCTCCAAATTGAATTTTTTTCCCAATTAAAACCTCTAACTTTTTTCTTTCCCAAATAAAACCTCCAACTAATTAATTTTTTCTAAAAAAAATCTTCAAGTCGTCAAATTTGTGCATGATCAATGATTAACTAACGGTAAACGGTTTTTAATGATCTTTTTTCCGTTTATTTAGTTTTCAAAATTCACATGTGTTAGTTACAATAGAAAATATGAAAATCTTAATTATGAACTCTATAATACATTTTTTCTAATTTTTAGAGTTCATATAAAATTTTGGAAACTAAATAAACAAAAAATAGATGTCGTCAACGACTATTAACTATTCAGAACGAAATTACCAGTGATCATTGGTCAACCATTGATCGGGTTCAAGTTTGACGACTTGAAAGTTTTTTTAGAGAAAATTAATTAGTTGAAGGTTTTAATTGAGAAAACTTTTCAATTTGGAGGTTTTATATGAGAACGAAAAAAGTTGGAGGTTTTACTTGGGAAAATGTTTCAACTTGGAGGTTTTTTCTGAGATTTTTCTAATTTTTTTTTTTTTGTCAACCACACATTAATTATTAAATAACACCTTGATTGGTTGTCCAATTAGGAGGAGTAGTGTTTACAAAAGTAACTTCGGAAAATAAAAGTCTAGAAGAACGGGCTAAGCAGTCCGCCTTAACATTACATAAACGAGGTATAAGAGAAAGCGAGAATAAGGGGAAAGAGTCACGGAGCAGTCTAAAAGCATCTAGCAGATTAGAGAAAGCGGGCCATTCTTTAGGTGATTGTACCATCGAGACTAACTCTGAACAATCTGTTTCAAACGCCTGACAATTAATCCTTCTTGAAAAGACATTCTTCATGGCCCAAATTAACGCTTCCATCTCCGAGTGAAGGGGGGAGGGGGATCTCCGAAGGCACTTTGCACCAAGTAGTATCGTTTGATCATTTCCTTGAAAACACCACCATCCTATACCCATAGTTGGATCCAAAGATTTCCAAGAGCCATCAATCCGACATCTTATAGATTGGATAGGGCTTTCCAAAATTTCCGTATTAATACTAGTTTCGATCGGTTCCAACTGAGCATCTTCCCACATTAATTTCTCGTTCAAAGCGTGATTTAAAATATCTGTGGGATCAGATTGAATTCCTTTGAAAACGTTTTTATTCCTGTCTTTCCAAATGAACCACAAAATCCAAGCAAAACAATTGGTTCTTTCTCCCCCATCTAGAGGAGGTGGTAACCTCCAGTAAAGATAATCTAGATTTGAAAATTCCGAGCTTAGAGGAAAAGAACCTGAAACCATAGGTATTGTGGATAATTCGCATATTTTTTTAGAATGAGAACATTCAAATAAAACATGATTTATTGTTTCTTCTGCCGTCTCACACCTTTTACAGATAATATCACAATGAATCCCTCGTTGTGCTAATTTTGAGGTAACTGCCAAGGATCCCGAAGCAATTTGCCATAAGAAATGTTTTATTTTTGGTGGAGCTTTGACTTTCCAAGCTTGTGCTTGTAATTTTCTATAATTTGGACCCCATTTGGTCGTTTTTGTCAAACTTCGAGCAAGCCGATATCCTGATTTTACTGTATATTTTCTTGATTTTGTATAATACCAAATAAGCCTATCTGGTTTAGAAACTTGACTAATAGCTAGTCCACTAATAATTTGAATATCCACCGGATCCAAGAATTCTTGTAAAATTGGGAGGTGCCATTCTTTAGTAACCGGATTAATTAAATGGTTAACCATTAGGCTTGGAAGCAACAAATTCCCTCTGCCATTTGCGGGGCGTGGATTAACATCGGGAATCCAAGGATCTCTCCATACCGATATGTTAAAACCCGAACCAAGAGACCATCTTGCACCCATTTCAACGAGTCTTTTAGTAGAAAAAATACTCTTCCATCCAAACGATGGAGAGTTTGGCTTTTTAGCATTTAAAGGATGAACATTCCTGAAATATCTACCTTTTAACACTCGAGCTACTAATGAGTTTGGATACTGGATTAACCTCCAATACTGTTTAGCCAACATGGCATCATTAAATGTATCTAGAGAATGAAAACTCAAACCTCCTTCTTCTTTATCCATACACATTTTTTCCCATGCTATCCAATGAATTCCACGGTCTTTCCCATTAGAACTCCACCAATAATTAGAAATAGCACTTGTTAACTTAAATGTTAACTCTTGAGGAAGTTTAAAACAAGACATAACATATGTTGGGAGAGCCAAAGCAACAGACTTGATCATTGTCTCTTTCCCACCTTTTGACAGATATTTAGCTGACCAACCATTAATCCGTTCATTAAGTCTTTCCCGAACGTAATTAAAGATTTTACTTTTTGAGCCCCCTAGGCTCTCTGGTATACCCAAATAAGTACCCATTCCACCTTCCTTAGTAATACCAAGGAAATGTTTTAGTTCATCTTTCTTTTGGTGTGCTACACGCTTACCAAATATGACCGAAGATTTATTGAAATTTATCTCTTGCTCTGAAGCTTTGCCATAATTTCCAATAATATCCATCACCGTTTTACACTGCTCCGTATCTGCTTTACAGAAAAAGAGACTATCATCCGCAAAAAGCAAATGTGAGATCGGAGGACTTCTTTTTGCTATTTTAATTCCGATCAGCTTCTTCTCTCTTTCTGCTTTTTTAATATTAGCAATCAGGACCTCCGTACATAAAATAAATAAATAAGGCGATAGAGGATCACCCTGCCGTAAACCCCTTTTGGGAATTATATTTCCTCTAGGTTCTCCGTTCAATAAAACCTGATACGAAACGGAACTAACACTCCACATGATCCAAGAGATCCAACTAGAGTTGAATCCCATTCGTGACATAACAGCCTCCAAAAATTCTCATTCTATCCTATCATATGCTTTGCTCATATCTGTTTTAATGGCTAAAAAATCTGTCTTGCACATTCTATTCGTCCTGAGTCCATGAAACATTTCCTGAGCTAGCAATATGTTGTCTGTAATAAGTCTACCTGAAACGAAAGCCGACTGTGTTTCAGAGACTAGTCGAGGTAAAATATTTTTAAGCCTTAAGCAAAGAATTTTTGAAATAATCTTGTAACTCACATTACAAAGACTTATTGGCCTAAACTCGGCCATCCTCTGTGGCCTTTCGGTCTTTGGAATTAAACAAATATTTGTTTCGTTTATTCTCTTATCAAAACATCCTGTTCTGAAAAAATCACTGACCAAACCTACTAAGTCTTCCTTTAAAGAGTGCCAAAACCTTTGATAAAACAAGGCCGTCATGCCATCTGGGCCTGGTGTTTTTTCAGGGTGCATGGAAAATAAGGCTTTCCTAACTTCTGCTTCTGTAATCCCTTTGGTTAGCTCTCTATTCATATCTTCCGTAATAATAGGAGATACTTCATGTACCATCTCAGCGATGCCATTTGTATTGGAAACATTAAATAGATCCTTAAAGTAGCTAGTTGCTATCTCTTCCATTCCTGCTTCTGATTCCTCCCAAACATCATTAGGGCCATATAAACCTGAAATCTTATTTCTTGCCCTTCTTTTTTTAGTGGAAGCATGAAAAAATTTGGTATTTTTATCTCCCACTTTTAACCAAAAATTTCTGTTCTTTTGCTTCCAATACATCTCCTCCTCCTGATAGGCTTCCTTTAATTTATTTTCGATTCTTTTTATTTCCTCTTGTGGAATCGAATCATCATTCTTCGCTTCTTCCAAAGCCAACTTAAGGGAAGAAATATTAGCCTGGCCTGTCGGGATATTATTTTTCCTCCACCATGAAATGGAATTTCTACAATTTTTAATTTTATCCACAAAAACAGGAACTCTAAAATTTCTTGTTCGATTCAACCCCGAATCAATGGCCTCAGTAAGACCATCCTTCCCAACCCATCTCTTATCAAACCGAAACTGGCGTTTTTTCCTCGCCAAAGATTTTTCGCAACTCAATAGAATCGGTCTATGATCAGAACCAATCATATCCAGATATTCCACTTTTGAATAAGGGAACAAATTGTGCCAATCCTCATTTCCCAAAGCCCAATCAAGCCTGCATCTCACAATTTGTTGGTTTCTATTACCTCTCCATGATAATTGTTCACCATAGCACGAAAATTCTAACATATCGTTATGTCGAATCATAAGATTAAAAGGAACAAAGGAAGCAGGTGATCGTAAATTATCACCTGTCTTTTCATGATTTCCAGTCAACTCATTAAAATCACCAATCATTAGCCATGGTTTTTTCCGGTTTAAACCCAACTCTGTTATTTTTTCCCAAACAATGTCGCGTTTTGTGGCAACAGGATCACCATAAACAAATGACATAAAAACTTTTTGTTTCCCGAATAATGCTTTAACATCAATAATCCGATTGCTTGCATAAAGAATTTCTAAATTTAATTTATTATTATAAAATAAAGCCAAGCCGCCACTAGCACCGCTAAGGTCAACTGAATACAAATTATTATAACCAAACTGAAATTGAAATTTCTTTAAATAAGAGAAACATCTTTTTGTTTCTGATAAAAATAAAATGTCTGGTTTATGTTTTCGCCATAAATCCCTTAAATAATTTTCTGTCAGGTCAGCTCCTATTCCCTGACAGTTCCAGCTCAAGGCTTTCACGTATTTGCCGGTGGTTTCAGGAGCGCCACCATCCCTTTCTTCGACAATCGATGTGCACCATCCGTTTTTTCCCCCTCCTTTGGTTTAGATTTACCCGCAGCTTTCTGTTTGTTAACATCACCTGCAGATTTAAAAAGGATAAATTGGTGTTTTTTTTCAACAATTTTTAAAATATGGTTTCGTTTTTGGATCAGTATTTCGGTTCAGATCGGTTTAGTATTTATAAACGTATAATAAAAAAGGTTAGAGAAAGGATACAAATGTCACTGCTTCGAAACCTCTTCTCCTTCTCCATCTCTACAAATTCAATTCTCACAAAACCCTATTTCGCAATCTCAACCAAAGCCATGGAAGCTACCTCTGAACTCAATCTCCATTACCCAAAACCCATATCTCCCCCTCCACCTCCAATCTCCAAAGACATTGAACTCAGAAGAGCAATGGAAGCTTCATCGAAATCAAGTCTCTTCAATCTCACAAGAGACCATGTATTATACGAAGACGAATACCTAATGGCTGTGAATAAACCAAAAGGTGTTTATTGTGAAGCTGTTCTTCGCTCTGCTCCTCAAATTGTTCTTGGTTAGTGAATCTAAAATCTAATTTCTTCTTCGATTTCTCTATGTTTGTGAATCTAAATCTAATTCGATTTTCAGATTCTTCGAGTGAGTTTCATTTAGCGAATAGGTTAGATCGTGATACTAGTGGTGTGATGATTATTACTAAGTCACATAAAGTCGCTGCTAAGCTTGTTAAGGCTTTCACAGAACATAAGATTCGTAAATCATACATTGCTCTTTGTATTGGTTCATCTCCAAATTGGAGGAAGATTACGGTTAGTTCAGGTCATGGACGGTCGAAACACGGAGCGTGGCGTGTTTACGCTGCGTTGGATGTTGGTAGAGTTTTACCTGGTGGTTCTTTTGTTAGAGATATGGAGACGACGTTTGAAGTTGTATCGGTAAACGGTGTGGAAACCGAATCTTGTGAAGTGGAAAATGTGATTGTTGTTGAACGGGAGCAAGAATTGAGTTGTGCTGGAGATGATGTTGTTGTGGTTAGGGCGTTTCCGCGAAGTGGGAGGACGCATCAGATTAGGTTACATTGTCAGTATCTTGGGATTTCGATTCGAGGAGATGTGAAGTATCATGGAATGTATGAGTGGAGAGGAAGAACATTTGAGGGGCATGAGCTTCATGCTGAGTGTTTGTCGTTGGATCATCCTGTTACGGATGATCCTATTGTTATTCGAGCTCCTCTTCCGTGCTGGGCCACCAGAGATGAAAGTTGTAACGGTTGATGGTTAGTTTTCAATGGATAGTGTTAAGATCTTGACATTGGTTGATTTGTGTTTTTCGGAATCTCATTTCTTTGGAAAGTAAAGCTAGGCGCAAGACATGAAATTTAAAAATTCATTTCTTCAATGTCAAAGATGGAAGATTGTAATTGAAAAGTCGCGGTGGAATCTGTGTAGTTCAATTAAGAACATTAGAAAGAAGGAAGTACATTGAATACAATCCTATGTTTCCTTTTGTTTCTTTTTATAAACTCGATAGCACAACATGTGTTTATCATACGAAATCTGCAGCAACAACTTGTACTAGCCTTCTATGATTTTTCTTTTGTTTTTAGCTTGGAAAGGAGTAATGTATTTCTAGCTTGGAAAGCAAATGATGAAACTGAAGTGCAGTCGGCCTTGGTGAATAGGTCAGCTAGTTGGTGTTGTGTCTTGACATGAAGAGTCGTGAAGAAACCAAACACCAAACGTTTTCAAACCTCATGACAATCGAGCTTGATATACTTTGTTCGTTCGTGAAAAACGGAGTTGCTCGTGATGTATAGCGCAGCTTGGTAATCGCAGAAAAGAACAATGGTATCAAGTGGCTGTGAATGTATATCACAAAGCTTGGAGCGTAACCAGCCTAGCTCGAAGATGGTATTGGCCACGTTTTGATATTCTACATCTACAGAGGTTTTACTCGCAACATATTGCTTCTTTGACTTCCATTAAACCTGATTTCTGGAACTAAACAACAAGTTTAAGAGGTAAATATTTTCCTTGTTTTGGAGTTTCCTCCACATCACCATATAAGAATATATTTGTAAAATACTGAAATCCATTAATACTCTCCTACCATGAATTATAGCAAATAATAATATCAGTATGACATATATTAGTTTGGCCACACTAAAAATGTGAAGATAGTCAAATTCGTTGTAGTTGAGTGTAACACATGTACAGTAGCCACTAAACGAGTCTTGTATCTCTCAATATGCCTAACCAGTTTATATTTAACTTTGTAAATCCAATTACATAACTTAATGTTTTCTTTCAGGTTACGAACATATAAATCAAGTTCTCGTATTCATGAGAGCTTCCAACTCAAGGTTCATTGCACCAAGCCATGCACGGTTGTAACTTCAATGTCTCTTTAAACTTTAATTCTTCTTTTTCATATGACATGGAAAAATAAAATTTACAAAATTCATGAAAGAGTTGATCATAAAATAAAGGATAATATTAAAAACTAGTCAAATTTTACACATAAATTAACGTGCAGAAAATATGGGTAACAAACCATTTTTAAGATGCGAAAGCCCAAAACTACCATCTGCATTTGGGCGGGATGTTTGGCTTCCGAGAGTAGATATATTGCCATAGGAAGAACAAACCTAGGTAGCTAATCATTGATGTGTAATATTTAAAAAACACTTGCAACTTTACATGGCATGAGTAATGAACGCTTGAGGGAATTTGCATAGAACACTATTTAGACTAGACGAGGTATACAAAAAGTCATGTAACAATGAAATAAGCATATTGCAGAAATGTTGCATAAGGCATTTAAGGACACGCTATTTATATTTATTACATTAGAACATATAGGTTACATATTGCCTTGATAGTATGGCAAATGAGCTACACCACAGATAAGAAAACCACATCCGTGTTATTGTACGAATTTGCATGTGATTATAGGAAAAACATGTATCATAACTCTATAACTTGCGTGTGATTTTAGCAAAAAGCATGGATTATTAGTAAAACACACAATCTGTTATAAAACTTGTTGTTCTATTGATTAATGAATGAGGTTTCGATACATATATATACATGACAAGGGGAGACAAATCCCCATTGGGCTAGTAAACCCTAAAGCCCAAAAGCCCACTAAGTACAATATAGGCCGTCATAAGGAGAATCTTCAAGAACATGGACATGGGCCTTCTAGGATATGGATTAGGCCCACGGTTATGGAGTCCATCCAATATGTGATTTATAACACTCCCCCTTGGATGACATAACCGTGTAGATGCCAAAGGATCTCAGTAATACGCTTGGGGATGCTGCCTCATTAAAACCTTACCAGGAAAACCCATTGGGACAAAACCATGGTTAAGGAAAAAGAGTACAGCACGTATTACTCCCCCTGTTTTGGTCATCCCTGCAAGTCCTTAAGTCTCCGCATTCCAATTTGATGCGTGAGCTTCCTCAATGTCGATGTTGGTAATGCCTTGGTAAAGAGATCGGCTGAGTTGTCGCTGGATCGAACTTGTACCACTCGAACTTCTCCATCCCTTTGCAAGTCATGCGTGAAGAAGAACTTTGGTAGAATGTGCTTCGTCCGATCTCCCTTGATGTAGCCGTCCTTGAGCTGAGCGATACAGACTGTGTTGTCTCCTCATATGATGGTCGTTGATGTTGTAGTAGCTGCGCCTTGAAGAAGGCTGCCTACGTACCCTTGGAAGGGATCAAGCCACACGTAGTTCCTATTTATTGACCATGCCATAATCTGATCTTACCTGCATTATCAAAACAAACTAAACCAAAGCAAAACTAGACCTTCTTTGGTTAGATCAGTATAGAATAAAACCCAAATAAACAAACATAGGAAGAATAGAATTTAAAATTTAACCAAACCTTCCTTCAAACCTTTCTAGTGCCTTTGGGTTGATCATTAACTAAATTTAGACAAAGGAGGTTCACGACAAAACATATGTCTGGTCTAGTGTGGCTAGCCAAGTACATTAACGTTCCTATGGCACTAAGGTATGGCACTTCAGGATCGAGAACTTCTTCCTCATCCTTCTTCGGACCTAATGGATCACTATCCAATCTGAGGCTTCTCACCACCATTGGGCTGCTCAATGGGTGGGCCTGGTCCATATTGAATCTCTTGAGTACTTTTTCAGTATATGCCTTTTGATGCACAAGGATTCCATTATTCACGTACTCAAGTTGCAATCCCAAACAGAATTTTGTCTTGCCTAGGTCTTTCATCTCGAATTTTTCTTTAGATATTCGACTGTTTGGGCGATTTCCCAGAGGTTCCAAGGATGTTCAAGTCATCCACATATACTGCTATTATCACAAACCCTTTGTTTGTAAATTTCTTTATGAAGATACATGGACTGATGGGATCATTCTTATAACCTTCTCTGACTAGGTACTCGCTTAATCTATTGTACCACATGCGTCCACTTTGTTTCAGTCCATAAAGTGATTTGTTCAGCCTTATGCAGTATTGGTCCCGAGACCCTTTCTTATCTTTATCTTTGAGCTCAATACCCTCTGGTAATCTCATATATATTATCCAGTGGACTTATATAAATATGCAGGTATTACATCCATTAGCCGCAAATCAAGTCTTTTCCTTTATATAGCCAGACTTAGCATCCACCACATGGGAGTATGTTTCTTCATAATCTATCCCCGGTCTTTGTGAGAATCCTTGTGCTATAAGCCGTGCCTTATATCTCACGATTTCATTATTCTCATTTCTCTTCTGCACAAAGACCCATTTGTGTCCTACTGGTTTTTACATCGAATGGTGTCCTTAAGGTCGGACCAAACTCATTCCTTTTCTTAATGATTCTTAGCTCCACGTTTTATGGTCTTGTACCATTTAATCAATCAAGTCTTTGAGTGCACTCTAGTATAGACGTGGGCTCTTGATCCTCATTTATATTCATAAATTCAAGTGCTACCTTGCATGCAAAATCATCTTATGTCGATATTTCTTATATGTTCCATTATGTTCCAGACATGATATAATCGATTTGAGATTTATTATGGTCAGGACCTTTAATACTTTGCAGCTTGGCGTCCCAAGCTACATTGTATGGTACCTGTACCTTAGAGCCGGCCGGCCTTATCTCCATGTCTGGGATGGTTTCCTTAGTAACCTCGGATTCCTATTGCACCTTTATTTAATTTCCGAGGGTTTTTATCATTGGAACTTATTGGTCTACCACGTTTCTTTCGTGTGTTAGACTCGGTAGCAATTTCATTGATTCCCTTTTGGATATCAATACGTACTGGTGCATTACAAGCTGGTATGTACGTTTTTGTAACTTTCTTTGGGTCAGCAAAGGAATCTGGCAATTGATTAGCTAGCTTTTCAAATGTATAATCTTATGGACCTCTGATTCTCATGCCAGAGTCCGAGGATCTTGCCAATTTAAGGATGTTTGATTCCATTATATTTCTTTTATTGCTTTACCCAGCTTGTTCGTCTCTCCACCTATAGTAGGAAATTCGGATTCATTAAAATGACAATCCGCGTATCTAGCCTTAAATAGATCACCCGTAGTTGGCTCTAGATACTTAATAATGGTGGGAGAATCAAATCCAACATATATTCCCATCCTCCTTTGAGGTCCCATCTTTGTTCTATGTGGTGGAGCAATCGGTACATATATGGCACACCCGAAAGTCTTTAGATGGGATATATCTGGCTCATGACCCATGAGTAATTGGGATGGTGAATATCTATTTTCACTAGATGGCCTTATGCGTATAAGCTCTGATGCATGTAAAACAGCGTGTCCCCAAGCGGCTATTGGAAGCTTCGACCTCATGAGTAATGGTCGAGCTATCAATTGAATTCGTTTAATGAAGGATTCCGCTAATTCATTCTGTGTATGTACATGTGCTACGGGATGTTCCACACTTACCCCCATGGACATACAATAGTCATTAAACGCTTGGGACGTGAATTCACCGGCATTGTCTAGACGTATAGTCTTAAGCGGAAAATCTGGAAAGTGGGCTCGCAGTCTTATTATCTGGGCCAATAACCTAGCAAACACTTGGTTTCTAGTAGATAGGAGACAAACATGCGACCATCTTGTCGATGCATCAATGAGGACCATACATATATCTCCTTGTATCCTTTCCAGAAATTTTAAGGTCTCTTTATTTACCTTAGCCGGTGATGGCCTTATAATGAGTTTCCCTTGTGAACATGCTTCACACGTGAGATTCTTAGGGATAACTCTTTTCTCTTTTAGGGTGTGCCCCTTTGAATAAGCTTACGCATCATACTATGACCCGGATGGCCAAGCCGGTCATGCCATAAAGTTAATTTCTCGATGAACTCTTTGTTCATTGCCATATTAGCTTCGATCATATCGATTTTAGCATAGTAGAGACCAGTGGATAATGCGGGTATAGTCTCTAGGACTTTCTTATGTCCTTGGGTGATCTCTTTGTTCCCTTCACCCTTTGTTTCAATATGGAAACCATTCAAT